TCCAAATTCTAAATCAAAAAGGTTATTTCTTACCAAGAATGGGGACTAGATCCTTTAAAACCAAGGATCACCAATACGAAAGGATTTAAAATTACATCCTATCACTACTTCGAATATATAAAAGCTTGGGATGAAGTTTTTGCATACTAGAATACAAAAAATTCACATAGCTGGTATATTCAGTTTAAATTAACTGAGCCAAACGAGTTTCCCAATTGGTTTAAAAATTGGTTCTCTATATGGGGATCATCAAGCCAAATTCTACCTACAATCTACAAATTTCACAGAGAAAATTCTCTGATTACAATAGTCAAAGTCTTAAAAGAGACTATCATATATTTTTTATGACCTTATATTAGGTCCCGTGGATTTTAAAATGGGATTATCAATTCTCAGAAGATCCTATGGATAGGTGGGATTATATTCCCAAATTAAGGAGACAAATATACATCAAACGGTGAAACAGTTATAAAAATGAATCCATTAGTTCAAACAAAATAAAAATGAAACTTATACCTTCAGTTTCATCTCAAAGGGAAAACAAAATGGAAATAGCAGAATATGTTGTGATATTACAGCAACAAAACCCTAAACTATCTAAAGATGAGCTTAAAAGGAAGCTCTGGAGTGCTATAGAAGACAATGAAAAAATGTCCATCTCTACTCAGAGTGAAGAAGACTACAGTCCAATGAACGGTGATGACTGTGCAGGGATTGAATTTTCTTCAAAGTAAAGAAAATTCACAGAGAGACTTGGATGACTCCACCCATATCTAGGACACGTGTCCCTTCATCAACATAACCGATTTTCTACTTTAGCCATTGCCGACAGAATCTACTTTTTATTGTAGCCACTACAAAAAGCTGACTAAAACAGATAAGCATCTTGAAAAAGATTGTCGGTGCGGATTTCAAAGAGATTTCAAATCCGCCTAACTCCTCTGGCTATAAGAAGAAGAAACCCTCTCCCATTTGGCATCAGGAGTTGGGGCCTTGAAGAGCTGAGTTGTTTACCTCCGATTCGTTTGCATCCTTCTCTTTCCTCTCTCTCTCTCTTAGTTGATATATCTGGTGGTGTATCCAACCATCCAGCTTCCCTTTTTTTGAGTCTGTAAATGTGTGAGAGATTGATGAGTGCTTAAGTATATGTGTGATTCCTCTTGGAGTTCAAGCAGTTAAGATTAGCAGTTAAAGTCTTGTTGTTGCATATTCTCGTCGAGCCTCTGTATTTGGGAAATGTAAGTTTTATGACAGTTTTATAGTAGCTTATATTCTCATATGCTGCTTAGCTTATATTCTCATATTCTGCTTCTGCTTAGTGTAAGAAAATAATTAAAATAGATTTAATACTATCTCTACGCAATATTTGATGGGAATGGAGTTATGGAAAGTGAGGGATAATGCTTCCGCCTCATTCTTTTAATCATGATGGCTGATCTAAGGAATGAATAGATGATATCTCTTCACCCTACAAGTTTCCAAGATCAAATATCAAGATTAAGTCTCAAAATGATGGTAAAACTCTAACTCTAGAAACCCTTGTGTTATATAAATTGGCAATGGGGGACTCATTTTCTACACTTGAAACCTCCATCTCTCTCTCTCTTTGAGCCAAAAGGGTGGCATGCCTCTCTTTGATCTCTCTTTTCCTCTCTCTAAGAATAGGGTTTAGGAAAGAAAAATAAATCCTAATGGGATGCCCAAGCCATAAAAGCCTAGCCCTAGGTCTTGGCCTTATGCTCATGTCTTGAGTCTTGGTTTGGTTTATCCTATATCATGCTTTCTGTTGGTTTTGCCTAGGTTCCCAAGTTGTGAGACAAGTTCTTGAACCTAGATCTTGTGGGCTATTGGTGGAGGAGACCGGTGTGGAGTGTACAAAGTCATTGGGGGTAACCTGAGGTAAGGTATGTGGTAAGTTCCTGCCTTTATTCTCTCATGATTTAATTGCATCTTTTATGTAATTTTCAAATCTATAAATCTTATTTTAATGGCAAGTGAGAGTCCTTGGCCTTTTATTTGGTTTATATATTGTATTTGGACACTTGTAAGTGATTCGGTTGGCAAGACATACAGAAATTGAAAGTTTTTTAATCGGTATTGACTTGCTCAGTCACATAGTCCACCTTTCATCCACTTCCTACTAAACCCATACGCAATTGTATATCATCAAGAAGACTCCAGTCGACTCGGTCATAAGCCTTTTCCCAATTAAACTTAATGACAAGACCTTTTTCCCCATAAAGAAATATGGAGTGGATAGCTTCATGCGCAGAGAACGCCCCATCCAGAATTTGCCTATTGGCAACAAAGGCAGATTGGATCGGGTCGATGCCAGAGTGCAAGACTGCTTGGAGGGGAGAAGCCAGAACCATAGCTAGAATTTTGTAAGAGGAGTTTAGAAGGCTAATAGGTTGGAAATCTCTTAGTTCTTCTGCCCCTTCAACCATAGGGATAAGAGCAATGAAAGTACAGTTTAGGGCAGAACTAAGGCGACCTCTATGGAGGAATTCAGTAAAGAAGGCCTTAATGTTCAGAGCCAGTGTTTCCCAAAAATCTTGGTAGATGGCAACCAAAAAACCATTATCACCAGGGGCTTTATCACGCCCAAGATTGAAGATGGCCTTGTGAATCTCTTCCTTAGAAAAAGGTCTTTCAAGCCAAATCACATCCTCAACAGACATGGAAATGATAGAGATATCACCAAGGGAAGGTTTCAGGGTAGTGGGCGAAGAGAATAGGTTAAAATGTCTGATGAAGAGTTTGTTGACCTGATCAGGCTGGGAGAAAGTACGATGGCCAACAGAAAGGTGAGTAATGGTGTTACCCCTTCACTTGACACTAGCAGTTTTACAGAAGAACGTCGTGTTATGGTCCCTGACCTTAAGCCATTTGATTTTGGACCTTTGGTACCAAAAGTTCTCTTCTTGTTTGAGTAGAAGGAACAAATTTTGTCTTTCAGAAGCCCTATCGGCAAGTTCTTGGGAGGAAAGAGGTCTAGATTCTTCTTGGGCGTTTAGAGTTTGAATAAGGGCCATACGAGCCGCAATTTGTTCCTTGAGGTTGCCAGAACTGGAGCAGATCCAATGTGTAATGGAGGCCTTTAGGAGTTGAGATTTTTTCTTCCTTGTTTGAGTAGAAGGAACAAATTTTGTCTTTCAGAAGCCCTATTGGCAAGTTCCTGGGAGGAAAGATGTCTAGATTCTTCTTGGGTGTTTAGAGTTTGAATAAGGGCCATACGAGCCGCAATTTGTTCCTTGAGGTTGCTAGGAATGAAGCGGATCCATTGTGTAATGGAGGCCTTCAGGAGTTGAGATTTTTTGGAAAGACAAAAACCGGAGCATGAGGACCACCAATTCTTGAAAAGCCGTGGAAGGCTGGTTCCTCCAACGAGAGGAATTCAAATCTAAGGAGTTTATCGACAGAAAGAAATGGTTGGTACCAAGGAGGATTGGTTTATGGTATAGGTAATTTTAGGAAGCACCAAAGAGTGAGTACCTGGGAACCTGGATTCCCAAGAGGTGGACACAACAAAGCAATCAATTTTGGTCATAATAGGGGAAGCAACGTGGTTAGACCAAGTATACTCTGCCTTTGAGAAAGGAATGTCTAGTAAGGGGGCCTTATCAAAGAACTCTATGAAAGATTGCATGGAGGCGGTTAAATGACCCCCAAAGCTCTTCTCATGAACCCATCTAACAACATTGAAATTTCCCCCCAAAAGCCACGTTGTATTAGGGGGTGGGGGGGTCATTTCCAACAGGAGTCCAGGCCCAAGATCTTGGCAAGCAGTCGAGCATTTGGGTCCACAAACAAAGGAGGTTTTATAAATAAGGTTATCTGAAATCTCCATAACAAAACATTACTGGAGTAGTTACAAATAGAGGAAGAGACAACTTGAAGAATAGTCGGGTTCCTAAGAACCCATATACCACTTGAAGCCCCAGTCTTTAGCGACCCAATTGCAGGGCATCCGACCCCAGGTATCCCTAATAAAAGGTAATTTTGGGGCCGAAAGCTTGGTTTCAAATATGCTGAGAATGTCAGGTGAATGAGAAAAGACCAAGGAACGGATCGCATTGCGCTTGGTGTGGCTATCCAGACCCTAGTATTCCAGCAAAGAATCTTTATTTGGGAGAATTGGGATGGCAGGAGGATTTCGTATTAGTTTCTACACTTCTTAGTGCTAGCGGATAAAGAAACAAGCAGAGAAGGATGCGTGAAGGATGAAGCGGGGGAGTTATGGTTTAATATTTACCTCTGTATTTGTAAAGATATGGGCAAGGCTCAAGAATGACTCCGGAATAGCCCTTTTCTTACAAAAAACATACACTTGAAATGAGCTCAGTCGACTTGGTGAGTCCGAAGAAATACATTTGGGGATTTAAGAACTTTCTTACAAATGCTTGAAATTCTCCTTTGTTAGCACACCTCACTTTTACCCCTAAAGATCTTCCAATTGGTTGCTATAGAAAACTTTGTTAATGGGAATTTTGCAAGTGTCTCATAAACAATAGGTTCTATTCAACTCACTGCGTTTCTTCATGCTTAGATCCTTTATCTGAAATGAACTCTTGTAGTACCCAGAGGGGGCTTCTGGAAGGTGGGGTAGTGGGTGAGTTGGTGGGAGGGGCCATGTGGCACAATATAGTTGATTGGGTGCTTATGCTTTTCTGAAGTTCAATGGACCCTGGGCATGTTAACTAGAATCCTCTAAAGCAAATCTTGGATTTGTTGTTTCTGTTCCTGTCTATATAATCGAATTTAATTGTGTAAATGGCTTTTATTTGATATAAACCAATTTTTGAGGATTGCTTTGCTCTCCACAGTTGGAGAACCTTAATGACATCTTCCTCCTTTTCCTTGTCATATCATGTGTTACTAATTGTGCTATTAACTATTTTTTTTACGCATAGTTGTGGATTATAGCTTCACTATTTAGTGAACAGTGTCATTGTGGTATTTCCTTCGGAGATTAGCACTGATCTTCTCTTTTGATGCAGTTCCTTCTAATTCAGGATGTTCGAGTGTCAATATCAGATCTGCGGAGAATATAATTGAGTCATTGGTTTCATGCTCTTCAAGTGAAAAGCAAAGATGGTGTAAAATTATAAGGACTGATGGCTTGGATTTTGCCACTATAAAAAATATAAGGTTAAGTCTCCTTACGGTCCTTAAGTTTTTGGTTTATTGCTTCTTATCAATTGCTATTTTTATTCCTTTGTTCTCATTATGTACAAAAGATTCTTTGAAAATGTGCATTTTTAAATTTAACATTGATTTTGTGTTAAATCTAATGTATTTGATAAATATGTTCACGTATGATGTTCAATTTTATTGGGCTTTCAAAATCTGGGTGAAGCCCATTTAATTTGGTGTTTCTTTGGTAGTCCTTTCTCTTTAAGCCTATTCCTTATAGCTGATGCCTATGCATGTGTGGCACTATCAAAACCCAAGTGTCCCTCAGCCTTAAGATGCTTAGGGGATAACTAGTATAGGTGTTGGGAATGGAGATAGGTACAAACTGCAGAAAATTTTCCTATTAGATAACTTTCAAAACCTTAATTATAGGATCTATGATCGTTATGCTTAGTGTCTTACCCAGGCACATGTCATGATGAAGGATCATACCAGTGGGTCAACAATTGTGTTTTTATGCAATTAATGACACTCTTACCGGTTGGTCATATACCCTATCATGGGGGCTTATTTTGGTGTAATCTGAGCACAACTGAAGCTCACTGGAGCTTTTCGGTTGCTTCCTAGATTCTGTATCATCTCTAAATCTTTCTTTAGTTTATTTGATCATTAGGGAGCTAGTTTTTTATTTGTGCTTGTGGTGGCTTGCTTTTATAATTTGATCTTTAACAAGCACTATCAATGTGTTGTATGTGATTCGTGATATTTTGGCCCTGGGTTTAATACAAATCGAATATATATATATATATATATATATATATTACCTTTAAAAGTTGTGTGGTTTTTACAAACATGATTTCAGAAATGCAATTACAGATAAATTATAACATGATGCACGCTCAAAATAGAAATAAATGGGTATAAACTTTGGTGTATAGGAAATGATAATAATAGAAATGTAGGCATAATAGTAGAATTTTTTTTAAAAGATAAAGTAGTTAATGTCAAGAGAATAGGTGATAGGCTCCTATTAATTAAACTTGTATTATGGTTAATTAAACTTGTATTAAGGGAAGATATAATGATTAGTACTTATGCAGCACAAGTAGGATAAGGGGATAGAAGTAAGAGACAGTTTTGGGAGGACATAGAAAGAATAGTCCAAGACATACCAAATGGAGAGAGGGCCTTTTTAGGAGTGGACTTAAATGGTCATGTAGGGAAGGATAGTAGAGGATATGACATGGTACATGGGCTTGGAAAAAAATAGAGATGGGCGAGGCTCTTCTAGATTTTGCTATGGCCTAGGACCTAGAGATAGCAAATACTTACTTTAAAAAGCGAGATGAACATTTAAGAACCTTTAAAAGTGGATCACATAAAAGCCATATAGATTTCTTCCTAGTTAAGAAGGTAGATCAACCATCATGTAAAGACTGCAAGGTTATCCCAGGAGAGAATTTGACTACCCGACATAGGGTCGTGGTTATGGACGTCTACATAAAAACATAGGAGAGAAGGGGTGAAATTAATAGGTGTCCAAGAACTAGGCGGTGGAATTTAAAAATTGAGAAAATAGACTTATTTAGGAATAAATTAGTTAAAGAAGGAACATGGAACTCTTAACATGAGGTCGATGTTTTGTGGAATAAGATTGCTGGCTGTATTAGAAAAGTGGCAAAAGATGTTTTAAGAGAATCTGGAGGGCAAATAAATTCCGATAAGGAAACTTGGTAGTGGAGTGATGAAGTTCAGTAGGCCATTAGCGAAAGATGATCATGTTATAAAAGTTGGTAGTATAATAGAAATGATCAAACTTAGAAGAATATAAAAATGCTAAACAAGTAGTAAGGCTAACTTAAGGCGGATGATAATCTATACAACAAACTGGGGACAAGAAAAGGTGAACAAATGTCTTCAAATTAGTAAAAATGAGATAGAAAAAGTGTATGATGGTGATGATGATTGCTTAGAATCAACTTGCACAATGGTAATTTTTTGTCGGAGACAGAGAATTTAGCAATTGCAAATTTGATTTGGGAAAACGATTCAGCAGACATGATTTTTGATGAAAAAGAAAGATTTCTATGTAAGAACAATTTCAACATTTACCCAATAAAAAAATAATTTCAACATTTCAGTGCTGAGGGAATAAACCACTATCTTTCAGCTTAATAAAAGAATATCTGCACATAACCATAAATTCAATGAACATGTTTAGCTGACTCAGGAGATGGATTGCATTCAAACTACAGATTGTCAAGTCGTGTTAACTTGAGCACAAGAATATTAAGAAATAGCACCCTATGCAGATTTTGTGCATAAATATTTCAATCACATCTTAATTGCTTCCGGATTTTTTGTGTTCATTGATGAAGTTTGGAATCTTGATATATAAGATCTAAGATTCTATGTTCTTTATGGCGCATTTGTCCTTCACGCTGTCAAACTATGATGTGCTCTAAAGGTTTCTTTAACAACTGTTTGTACAAGGAAGGTCAAGGTTTCAAGCCTTGAAGTTTGATTTTAGGCACATCTCTTTTTGTGACTGTAATATAACAATGTGTACTTGTTTTGATAGATACAAATGTTATCAAAATTGAATGAAGAGTACAGAGGAGATCGAAAACAAAGGAACTCATGGAATGTCAAGATACCATCTCAAGAACCCATTACTGCTTGCAGACAATTATGTATTTGCTAAATGCTAGAACACATGTTAAAATCTCAAATGATAGGGCTAACTAGAAAATGGTCCTTACTGAACTAGAAGCTGATATAAATTATGATGTGCTACATTTGCACCCCAATCTGGAAAGTTAGTCATTAAAATCCCATTTTAAATTCAAAAGTTTCGAAAAAAATTCATTACTATGGTTTTCAGCTTTATGGCACAATGACTTTAAGAATCTTGATGAGATTTCCATTCATTTCAAGTAGGGAGAACTATGGCAGAAATTGCTGTAGATTAAAGTATGTTTCCAAGTGAGTTAATAATGGACTCAGATCATTCGCACATGTTTTTTTTTTCTTTTTTGAATGGTAAACATTTGAATAGGACCATCCACTTACATTTTGTTGCTATAAAAGCCTGACTTGCCCATTTGATATGCTAGAAATAAGTTGTTCGCTGAACTATTTTGTAGGTGGTGCAGTTATTACTACATTATAATAAGTTTCATGCATTCTTGTGAGTACTTTTTACGTATCCATGAATAGGGTGATGTTGTGGCAGTGGTGGAGTTGAAGATTGTTTGCTGATTATGGAGTGTGGGGTCCATATTTTTAAGTTTTAGCCTTTAATGTTTCATACTGTCTTCCCTTGAAATAAATATGCGTTTTAATGGGGGGAAGGCTATTGATCTCTGAGGCAGGAAAAAAAATGTTTTCATTTTTATTTAGTCTAATTTTAAAGGATGTATATTTTTAATTTTAATTTGACTGTTTATTTTTAGGGTTTTAGGGTTTAATTTGACGGTTTATTTTAGGGTTTTTTATATTTTTAAGATTTAGGAGTTATTTGGAAAAATACTTATTGTACATTAAAATATTTTATTTTATTAGGGGTAAAGATGTTTTTTAGCTAGGACTCTTTAGCCAATTTGATTTTGGTGAAGGGTATTATGGCATGTGATTTTGAAATAAAAATACAAGGATGCTTCAGCTATGAAGCCCTAGTTAAGGTTTGGGAAGAAGTCCTTAGTTTCTTCAATTTGGTGCTTGTGCTTTGCCTAAAATTGTTTATTTGTCTATTTTCTTCATCAAATCTCTACATCAGTTGGTATTAGAGCAAAGGATTTGTTATTTGTAAGGGGAAAAACAATTCTATCAAGAGTAGGGTTTGTAATTTCGGTGAATCCATGGCTGCAAGAAGGTTCGAGGAAGAGAAGCTCTCGTAGATCTACCTCGTGATGCGAAAGATAAAGAAAATGAAATATCTTAGGAGTCAAGTTCAGCAGCTTGCATGGCAGCTTGCAGGCATTGCTCATGGACTAGATTCTAATCTTCTCACCTAAGAAGATGTTAAGCATAACCCCTTTCACCGCCATGTTCCTTGTTTCGGAGTTGAGTTTAGAGGAGAGTGATAGAAGACTTAGACATGGGGAGCTTCACTCTATGTTTTTCGATTTGAAGGTGCATATTTCTGATTTTGATGAGCATAATTTGAATCACAACCAGGGGAACAATAATCTTGCTGCTTGTGAGTACAATTTGGTTCGTGATGTTGTGGAGGCCGCCCATAGAGAATCTTTATTTTCATCTAGTTATTTTCAAATTAGCAAGTTGTAGATTAGGATTCGCCACCAATCTTCGATACCTAGTTAGATGAACGACAAGATCTCTTAGGAGATCTGATCTATGATAACTTTCAAGATGAAGGTCTCAAGAAAATTTGAGTTTGAAGTTTCCTACATGATTTTCAATTGCAAATTCAAGAATAGCCGAATTTGATAAATTTGTATCGATTCCTCAATATACATATTGTTATCTGATTCTTGAGGATTTCTTGTTAAAATAAATAATTTTTAAGTCAACAAAGAAAAGGAAGGTGGTTTGATGCTGATTTTTTTTAGGTCCGTACCCTTCAAAGCATGAGGATAGGTTTTCTCCAACCAGGGGAGTATGATGCAGGACATAAGTTTCTTATTTCCATTTTTTGTTTAATTTTAAATGATGTATAATTTGATTTTAATTTAGGGTTTCTGAGTTTTTATTTTTTTATTTTTTTTATTTTTATGGTTTTGGGGTTTTTATATTTTAAGATTTTAGGAGTTATTCAGAAAAGTAACTAGAATGCATATGGAATATTTTGTTTTATCAAGGGTAAAAATATCATTACGAATATTGTTTTAAGTTTAGACTATTTGTTCCAAAATATAACTAGCATATGGAATGTTTTGTTTTATCAAGGGTAAAAGTATCATTACAAATATTGTTTTAAGTTTAGACTATTTGTTCCTTCTTATTTTGGTGAAGGGCATTATGGACCTTTGTACTCCAATTAAGTTTTAAAAGAGGTGCATGGAGGTCTCAGGGGAATTCACCTGAATTTGAAAAGGGCAAAAAAAGGAAGCTCTAGCTTTTAAGCACTAGTTAGGGTTTGGGGAAGATTTCCAGTTTTCTTTTGCTTGTGCTTTGCCTGAAATTGTTTAATCTTATGTTTTCTTTATGAAATCTCTACATCAATCTGTATCCATACCTGGCTACTTTCTTGGGCTCTTGAATTTTGATTAGAGTAAGCTTTTGACACTTCTTTTGGTCTTGATGCAGCTCAAGGACCATAATTGTTAATGGAACTCCACTTGGGAAGGAAGAGGATATGCTAATAAGTTATGGATGCGAAATTATTCCTGGGCCTGATAAAAATGGTAAGAGCTACTGTAGATGACATTCATCTTATCATTCTGTTCATATCAAATGTCCCGCAAGTTTTCTCTAACAACTTAGCATCATGCCAGTTTAGCGATATAAAACACTTTTGACGATGGTTATTGTGTTCATTTCCTCATTGCCATTATTTACATGCTTTTGCAGGACTTATGATTTATCTTAACCATTGTAACAACTGAGTGACATAATAATCCTTAATTAAATGTTTAGTTTCAGGTTGTTGCTGTCTCTGTTGTTAGACGTCTGAACTGCTAGAAAAAATTAAACATTAGTTGTTTATAGCATGAACTTTCTAAGTTTATATTCACCATAGGACTGTGCTTGCTTCACTTACTTTTGCATCTTATTAATTTAATTTGCTAGTTAAAATATGAGCGCCTTAAAAAGAGACTCATTGTTTGATAGATTGAGTTGAGAGGTCGAGTTATGATCTTGCTTGGAAGTCTTACTGGTGCGATTGGGCATGTATGTCAGGGAAAACAAAAGACATATAACAGAGTCTTAGCAATGGGTTTCTTTACGAGGAATTATCTAGGTAAAACTTGAGTACTTTAAAGTGTTTAACTCTGCAGATACCAATAGATAGCAAACTACTGATGATCACAAAAAGAATATAAAAAAATGACAATGTTTAAATAAAGTTATGTCAAACTTTGCATTTGAATTTTTACTTAGTTTCATGTTGTGATGCATGGATATGGCGCAGGACACGGTTACGATTTGAGTTTTCTTGGATTTTTCATATGTTTTTGAAGTATCCAACATTGACACGGCACCCATTTTTTAACTATCTGTGCATTTTAAGTTTCGTGTCTTTTTGAAGGGTATCTTTGTTGTTAGAAATTCCTGGCTTATGTATTTGGGAGCAAGAGCTTGAGAGCCTAAGAGATTATTCCCATCTAGAATCACCAAGGAATGTTTGACCTTGGAATTAGAATTGAACATATTTTACCTATAAAAACGAGAAATTTGAACATATGTGCTTTATTTTTTGTTTCTCATGATCTTAAGGTCTGGCAAGATTTATACTAATTTCATGCCTTCAATGTATCGGTGGCCATTATTCATCAACAACTTTGAGCTCGCTCGTACTACTGTTACTTGATTTCTCTCTCTCTATCTATCTCTCTCTCTTCCCCCCCTTCCCCCCCCCCCCGCCCCCACATCATTTATCCTTTTATATAGACTCTCTATTATTTAAAGACTTACTGAAAAGAATGTGATGACAAATTATTTAAAGACTTACTGAAAAGAAATGCGATGATTGTCTTGTTAATCTTTTTGTTTGCACTTCTAGCATACCAAAATCAGATACTTCCTGATGCTTCTGCAGTGGTCCCCTCTATTTTGGTGTAAGAGTTGATTCCTCTTTTTATGTTTGCCACATTGGTACTGCTCCCTGGTTATGGTCAAGGGCAGATCTTGATGGGATCCCTTGTTACATGTGGTGATTAGCATGCCAGTATGTTAGTTTCATTAGTCAGATGGCTTGCTTGCAAAGATTTATCCTTTTCTGGCTGGTTGCATATGTAACTCTTTATTCCTTCCCTTGTTTCATAGGTAGATTTTCAATCATGCATTTATTTGGAATTCTTAGCTTCGAGTCAATTGTTTCATGAATTTTGAGGCATACTTTGTTGTTAATCCGTTAGAATGCTTGAACTCTTCAGTAATGCGTGCTTCTTGGCATTAGATACTAGGTGGCCTTAGAAAGGAACTCCTTGGGTTCTTGAAAGCCTTCCTCAGCACCTTCCCCTGTCTGCTAAAAGTGCCACTCTCTCTTTCTTATCAACTTCTGAAGATGCCTGGAAAAGTCATCAACGCATCACAAACATGTCTTTCCTTTTCTCTTGCAACTTCTTTTTCTACATTTTGAAATGCCTTGGATGAATAATGCTATCTTTTTGCATTTAGGGTATTACTGCATTTTCCCTGCCTCAACCTACCTCAACCAATAGTCTCCATTGTTTACATATGCTCCATATAAAATGGAATGAGAAATTGCCCCAAAATTCTCTTTCATTTCAACAGCTGTAAAAATGTGCCCCATTCCTTCAGAATGGCCATAATTTCTCATGGGTTTTTGTTGTCAATGCGTGAGTCCCTCTCCAGCCTTGGACCTTTAGCCCTTTTAGTCTCTTCGAATATTTGCATTAGTAGAATTGCCAGCATTTACCCCCATTGTCTCCTCGAGCATCAAAGTTTTCCTTCCACCATCATTGAGCATCTACGTATTGAACTCGCTCATGAAGTTTGCCTCTATGTGCTGTTGCGATTAATCTTTAGTTCATTTATCTTGTAGCTAAGGTTTACTTTTAGATTCATCTTGCTTGCTTGTATGATCTGTGATACATGACTGTACATAGTTATTTCAATTTTCAGACTCGTTTGTTTCATCAATTGCCTTTTCTTGTTGAGGATTTTCCACATACCTAGAAAGTTTATCTGACAAATTTTCTGAATTGAATGTATTCATAAACGCCTTGATCTATTCTTCTTTCTGGTTTCCATATTGTTATATTTTTGAAAATGATGTATTTGGTTGCTGTGGCATACTGTGGGCTTGAAATAACATTTCTCTTTTTCTTGTTAATTTTCTTAGGATATCTTACATATGAATTTCAAGTTCTTCCAACGGGCCAAAACCCAAGTAATTCTATCAAGGTTGCAACTTTGAACTGCTTGTTTTTTCCTTTAAGAATTTTGTGCTTTGCTTGTCATAGAATACCTATGTCTATGATGTTTCTAATTTTTATACTCTTTCTAGGTTCCTTTGGATGTTAACAATATGAAATGCAGTATTTGCCTTAATATATGGCATGACGTTGTAACTGTTGCTCCTTGTCACCACAATTTTTGGTAATGACTTCTTAGTATTTCATAATCATCAGGATGAAATTTATATTACCTTTTTAATGTTGTAAAGAAATCTTACTTCTTTATGTTATACCAGCAATGGATGCTTCTCCATATGGGCAAAAAGGTGTCAGAAAGAACGCCGACAAGTTTTTTGTCCACAATGTCGGTCGATCACCCATTCAGTTGGAAAAAACCATATTTTGCATTATCTTGAGGAGGTTTGGGTTCTTGTTTACATGGAGTTTTTGAATTTGTAATAGCATTTATAAATAATTTTTGCTTTAGTGTTTATTTTTTGTAGATGATGCACTGAATACTAACTGATATTAGAGGACATTTAGAAACAGATGTTGAACCTTGTCGGAGACTCTTGCTTAGTTCCTTGAATATTCGATAGAAATATCATTGAAGATACCAGGAGTTCTTTCCTTCTGCTGCCAGTTCATTAGTCTTGTTCTTCCCGAGAATGTTCCTTTTCTACTTTCTTGTATGCTGGTTTGAAATATTTTGCTATAGATATGAGTTCAATTTCTATTAAAAAAAAGAATAGCATTACCTCTCTCATTGTGATGTGTTTGGTAGATAATGGGGCGAGTTTCGAGTGTTCCAAGCACTTCTGTTGTAGGAGAAATCAGAATGTTCCTAGTGCATCTGTTGCTGTTGAGGGTTTTAGGCATTGTTGCTATAGGGAGCAAACTAGTTATCATGAATTGTTGCTATAGTGACAATGGTGTTAGAATGCAATGGAGTGTTCTGTAATTTGTGTGTATTTTAAGTAGTTTATATTGTAAAGTCATTTGCTGATAGGTATAAGGGTCCTTACTCAAGTTGTAACATTATAAATTTAATAACGCAAGAATTAGGGCTATTCCCTGGTGTGTGTTTTCAAGTATGTGCCTCTTTTCCTTGTGCTTCTCATCCTTCTTTCCTAAACAATGATCTTTTTCTCTCCTATTTCTTCCATATTAGGCACAGTAAGACCGGGAATGCCCTCACCCTTCCTCTCCCATAGAAGCTTTCACCCTCATTAGCACTAGTATGGGGTGCAACTCGAAAGCCTGAACTCAAACAAGCCAAGTAGCTAAAAGAAAAGCTCAGGAGCTGACCCTACTGTTCATGCTACTGAAACTGTAATGTTCACGCCACTGTTATGCTACTGTTCTTTCTTTCAAAGCCTGATACTTCAGCCAAAAACTCTTGATTCTCTTTTCATTCAATATAAAACCCTAGATCTTGTCTGAAATCTATAATACTGCTCTTCACAACCTATTTCTTTCTCTTTAAAAATAAAAATAAAAATCCTAACTGCTGTTCTCCTTTTCGGTTGAAATCTAGTCCAAAATCAAACTGCTTTTCTCTCTCTTGCTCATCAAACCTAACTGCTGGTTTCTCTTCCTTCTTTATTCTTCCTTGAAATCTCTTGCTCTTTACTTTTTCTTGTTCTATTAACAATGACCTTGTCATCTTCTTCTATGTCAATTGATCTTCCTGGTTGTCAATATGTACTTGTTTACTTGGAAATGCTTAGTTCTAACTTGTATAAGAGGCCAGTGATTATTGGGGCACATTGATGGTTCATCAAAGCTGGCACAACTAACAATGTTGTTCATTCCAACTTCGCATATGATGATTAGATATCTAAGGACTAGAACCTCATCGGTTGGATTTGTTCCACCCTTCAAAGAAACTTATCCCTCAAGAGATTAATTTACCAACTGTCGCAGCAATATGGGAAGTTCTTCATGACTTTTTTTCTTAAGAAACAGAAGCCCTAATTGTGCATCTTTGAAGTGAGCTTCATACTTGTAAAAGAAATACTATGTTAGCCTTGGAATTTTATAACAAGATAAAAGCCCTATGTGATTCTTGTCCAAAGCCTAGAGAAAGGAGGTTTTGTTAGGTGGGCAGCCAGCATAAAACTTTGTCACAACTTTCATGAATCTTGAACCAATATGGCGGAACAAGATTCATGTAGTTGACCCCAAATAGTTGCGATAAGGCTTGGATGATGATGATGATGATAAAAGCCCAATGTGATCGGCTTGCTATGCTGCAAGATCTTCTATGTGAAAGCGACAAGGTCCATTAGATTTTGAGAGGTTTAGGGGATGTTTATAAGGTGTTTGTTTTCTTTGTGATGATGAGGACTGCATTTCCTCATTTAGTGAATTGCGAATTTTATTGTTGCAACATGAAGCATTATTCAATCTCAAATCTTCGTTCGAAAAGTCTTCCACTTCCGATTCACATCCTCTTTTATTCTTAAATAGTAATCCAAATATTAATATTGGTTGGTATTCAAATCGTAGTGAAGAGGTAGAGGATACAAAGTAGAGGACATGGAGGTCGAGTGGAAGAACTAATTTTCAACCTCATCGGGGTTATGGTTTGCTACCCACTCCTTCAGCAAGGTCAGTTGTCTCTTCATATGGTGGTGTTGTTTGCTAGATATGGAATGAAGCATCATACAACCATTAAGTGCTTTGATCGTTATAAAACCCTGCTAGTTGAAAGTTAAGTTGCTGCCCTAAATCATTTTCTGGAGAACTTAGCTATCCTGTCACCTACAAAGATAGATTGGGTTATGAATAGTGGTGCTGTAAATCATGTTTTAGTTACCAGTGGTACGTTCTGATCCTTGATTCCTTACTTTGGTAGTGGCTCTTTTGTGATTGGTGATAGAAACTGCCTCAATATCACTCATATAGGAAGTGTCACAGTTCAATCCTCCTGTGGTCCTATCTATTTATCTAATGTTTTCTTTGTTCCTAAGATGTGTCGGAATCTTATATCACTTTCGCAGTTAGCCCGAGAAAATTCTATTTCATGTGTATTTCCCCTCAAATTTTGTTTTTTTGAAAGAAAACAACATCATGGATAAGATGCCTAAAAGGTCTTATCGGAGACGTCTTTCATTATCTATGATCACGTCAAGAAGAAGCTCCCGTTGTTCTTTTCTTCTCTTAGTGCCAATAAAGATACCAATGTTTGACATCATCGTTTAGGTCATTGAATCCTGAGTCTTTATAGAGAGGCCCTACTTCCCTCTAATCTTGAGAATGAATCTTTCTTTGTGTGTAATGGATGCCAGTTGGATAAACGTGTGAAACTTCCATTTGTGATTCATAATAAAAGAGCTTCTACTCCCTTTCAATTAATTCATTCTAATATTTGGGGTCCTGCTCCACAATCTTCTTTATTTGGTTCTTTATATTACGTTACATTTCTGGATGATTTCTCTCGTGTCACTTAGATATTCTTTAAGAAGAAATCCAACGCCTTTCATGTTTTTATGAAATTCAAAATATTTGATCAAAAACACTTTCGAAAATCTTGTCTACTTTTGTAATGATGGAGGGATAGAGTTTTCATCCCAGAACTTTAGGACCTATCTGGAGAATAATGGGGTGAAAACAACAAATATCATGTGCACACCCACCTGAGCAAAATGGATCAGCAGAGTGAAAACATAGGCATATCAATGAAGTTGTATTGTCCACGACATTTATGAGTGGAGTTCTTAAATTTTTATCGACACATGCATTTTATACAACAGTTTATCGCATCAATGCTTGCAGAAGTTCTGCATGGAAAATGACCTTATTCCATGTTGCATCCATTTGGATGTTATCCCATGTTCTTATTGATAAAATCTAGAGACAAGTTGTCCCCGTAAGCAGGCATTTGTGTAGGGGTGGCAATGAGTCGGGTACGGGTCGGGTTCGGTTGGATCAGGACTCGGACCCTTCAGGTCCCGGGTTTGGTCGGATCCATTTCCACCCTATGACAGTTTCTTTTTTGTTTTTTTTGGCCCTTTTTTTATCATCATATACCTTATGACTATGAGCTGCTTTTTTTCTTCTAATAATACTGTAAATGTTGCTAATATTGTAACAATATGAACACCTAGCGCGTGGCAAAAGACACATGAGTGCCATCATATACCTTATGACTACGTGTGCCGGTTGGGTATGGCTGGACCCTAACCTGGACTATCTGGGTCCAAAATTTGGACTCATACCCGGACTCGAGGTCGGGTATACCTGTCGGTCCATTGCCACCCCTACATTTGTGTTTTAAAGGGTATGTTGAAGAATACAAGGGATACATGTTTTACAATCCTAAATTGAAAAGAGTTTTTATCTCAAGACATGTAACCTTCGATGAAAGGAGGATGTATATGTCTCCTAGTTTTATGTATGTAGGTGATTTATATAAACGGGAAATTCCATAGCATCATGAAATTCATAGTTGACCCATGAATCAAGTTATAGATGAGACACTATTTTTGTTCATAAAGATATGGATAGAAGTGGTGAGCATTACAATATTATGGTGGAGATAATTGATGAATTTCAAGTCTTGGGCAAGAGTTGAAGAAATGTATGGGATTTAAATGAAGATTCTCATAGAATTCAGCCAAAGATGTTATAGTATATCAAAGACGAAGGCATGAAGGGCAGCCAAAAGATAATCCACCTGAATACTCTCATACTCCAAATGAAGACTCTCGTAAAATTGAAAACCTTTATACATCAGTCAAGGATAGTTCATTATATAAAAGAAGAAGGCGTGAAGGACAGCAAGAAGATATGCCAGTTGAACTGCCAGTAGGTTTATGAAGTAAACTAAAAGTCAGATGGCAATGTGGAAAGGGTTAAAGCAAGGCTGGTTGCAAAAAGGTTTAATCAACAATGAGGACTTGATTATAGTGAAACATTTAGTCTTGTTAAGATAGTGACAGTTCAGATGGTTGTTTCCCTTGCTGTAGCCTATGGTTGGTCTCTTTTTTAGTTGGATGTTAAGGATGCCTTTTTGCATGGAAAGTTGGTTGAAGAGGTACCGCCTGGTTTTCTTGAAGAGAATCCAGAGACTCATGTTTGCAGGTTCAAAAGATCTATAGATGGGTTAAAAGAAGCTCCTAGAATGTTGTTTCAATGTTCCATAATGCACTAAAAGAAAGGGGTTTTATCAGGCCAACATCATATTGTTCATTGTTTATTTGTCACAACATGGAAGGCATTATTTTCATTCTGCTTTATGTTGCTGGCATTATAATTACTGGGAGCTCTATAGGCCTTATCGATGGTGTCAAGAAACTTTTGCTTGATAGCTTGACAGGTCGGTTGCGGATACTTCTTGGGAATTGAAGTAGATTGAAACGAGAATCAAATTTGGCTGTTTCAAGTAATGTACGCTTTAGACTTTCTCGAAAGGG